CCATTTAGCTTCCTCAACGTTGGCATGTCCATTTGCCATTTGTATGAGCTCGCCGATGGTTGTAGGCCTCTTGCGGTATAGCTTGCCACAAAGTTGCTCGTACCAGGGCCCTTTGGTAAAGGTAGCGATGGCCTCAGCATCGAAGATGTTAGGAATAGAGTTTCTTGTCTCTAAGAAGCACCTGATGAAGTCACGCAGGGATTCCTCGGGATACTGATGCAGCTTCTCTAGGTCAAACTTGGTGCCGGGCTGTTCGCACGTAGCCATATAGTTGTCGGTGAAGGCTTTCTTGAGGTCATCCCAAGATCAAATGGAGTTCTCCCATAGGCTGAGGAGCCAGTTATTCGCATACTGGTTAAGCATGACGGGTAGATAGTTTGCCATGATGTCCTCGTCTCTGCCTGTATCTCTCACGGTGATCTCGTATAGAGTTAGCCACTGAGCGGGGTTGGCCTTTCCATCATAGGTATTAACACCAAGGACCTTGAAGCCCACAAGCCACCGAACAGCTTGGAGCCTTTCTGTGAAGGGGCGAAGTCCTGATGCGCCAGCGGGAAGCATAGCTTGACAGGCAGCAAATCCCTTATGTTTGGCATCAAATTGCTGGCGACGCTCCATCTCTGCATGATAGTGTGTGACCCTACTATTCTCGATGCAACCGTGAACATCTGTGGCGGCATTGATGTGGTCACAAAAGGTCGTGAGAGGGGGGTTGATTGACCTCCTGGTTGCGACTGCCGCCCCGACCTCCCTAGGGGCGTGGTGGACGGCCGTCGTGGCGTGAATGAGCCTCATGGTTGCCTCTGGATCCTCTATAGAGGTAGGGACCCCTAGCCTAAGGTCAAGGGCCCTTGGCGCCATGGTGCCGGCCTCCTCCATCCTGACGAGAGAGGTGGCTTCGAGCTGATGCGGTGGAATAAGATGGGGCATCGTTTCGGAACTCGTTGACTTGGACCTACACTGCTATGATATGCGCTCAAACATTCTCGACCTCTGGAGTGTGAGGAAGTTTGTCAAGCTCGTTTAACGTGACGGCCAGATTAGCGCTTGGAGTTTGGTAAACTGGCTGGTCGCCCACCATGTCGAATGTCTCCTCCAGATTACGTTGATGGCGAGGCGGATCGCGACCATCCTCATGGCCTCTTGGGCTGCTTCTGCATCTCGGTGACGTTGGCGATCGGCGTTCCTTGCCAGACGAGCCGCGCGCTCTTCAACGCGGTTTCGGCGTCCTTGGAGACGCAATCGTGGCTAACATGGAAAATCACACCGTAAACCTCGGAGGGAAAGCAGGGCAGCTTGGCTTGGTCTGGGTCGAGCCCTTGGAATAGTCATTGGGGCTCATCCAGAATGTTATGAAGAGATTTGGTTGCGAGAGAGGGATCATCCGAAAGTTGCGCGGAGAGCCACCATGTTGACCACGGGCGCGGGCTGACCGAAGTCATTCGGGTTGATCATGTAGAGGTCAGTGACGTGGCCACGCTCGACGTGGTCGACAAAGAGGTGGTGGATGGCGTTCTGGTACATAGATCCCGCACCCTCCAGCCCAAAAGGATAGGGCTTCGGCGGAACCTCCATCGGGGCCTCGTAGCCAGCCAAACGTAGGCCGGTAGCGGGAAGTGGTCGGTGTCGCATCGTGCGCCCTTCTGGAGTAGCCATGATCACCAGATCGAAATCTAGCCATCTTGAACAGTGTGGCCGAGCAGGTCGCTCGGTTGCAGTGTCTTGGTGATCTTGGAGTGCGGGAAATTCGTCCCTCACTCTGGATTGATCTAAGACCGAATCCATGAGGAGCTGACATTCCATTAAGCGGTCCATGACCCGATCGATAGATGCGATCAGATCATCGTTGCTGATGGATCTCCTAACCCAGCGGATGGGGCGTCGGGATCGGAGATGTCGTTGCAGGTGTTGGCGCGATCGGTGTAGGGTGATCCTGCACCGCCTCCACGATCTCCCCGTTGCCATCGGGGCTGATGGTCCAGGTCATGGATCCGACCGTGAAGATCTGGCCCAGCTCGGGAAAGGCCATGGAGCTTGGGAAAGTAACCATCTGGTTCACCTTGAATTCAGCACGCACACCCTCTACCTGACGTGCCACTGTCGACGAAATGCGTCCGGCAGTCTACCGAGGGGTATGCCCACGGTAGTAGATAAATTGGTGGAGGTGCGTGTGAGGGAGCCGGATGGTGACACAGAACGTGAGAGACAACGATTAGACAGGTTCGGGCCGTTGACTTGACGTAATACCCTATGTCCTGTGTCTTTATGGATTGTATTGCTTATGATTCGATGAAAACGAGGGGGTCCCTACCCGCCTTACATAGCTCGGGGTAGGGTTACAAATCGGTTGTTTCTATCCTGATCGGTTTTACAAGATATGAATTTACAGATATCTCGAGATCTAGTGTATCCGTGCAGGTCTCCTAGATCGCCAGAGATCCTAATGCAGTCTTGCGAGGCACGCTAACCGATATCGTGCCTTGCACATCACGGTCCTGTGAGCTGGGCCTCCACTAATGGCGTGACCTAGGCACAGTCTTGTAGGCTGGGCCACCTTTGATGGTGCAGCCCATATCTTGTCCTGTGGGTACCGGGGGTCATACCTTCATAGGTTCTAATCCTATCACTAGCGTATCAAACTAAGTTAGAGGATGAATAGCTTGTTGCCGATTAGGCAGAGGAAGAGAGATCGGAGTGAAGAAATTCGGATTTAGCATGCTTCATTTCGCGATATTAGATGTTCATCGGACGGGGTAACATTCGTGATGTCCGTAGAAAGGAAAAATAGTATACTGTATTTCAAGAGCAAAATGTGTAATCTTTTTTCTCGATCCTGCTATGCCTAGGATTTGAAGCTGGTTGTTGCAAGCTTTTCTTATTCTGATAAAAGGAATAGCCTACTCAACGGAAGAAAGGATCAAAATGCATTGGCTCTCGTGTTTCCTCTAATCTTTTTTGTAATTTATATTAAAAATTAAACTGGGGAATGCATCATTTTTTTTGATAGGGGGAATGCAGCAATTTACTCGACGGGGATGGGATTCTTAATTCGGTCATGTTTGAACCAAAAGGAAGCGCCAAGCGGCACAGCGTACTACGAACTGATGAGCAGGCCAAGTCGAGCGGGGCCCGAATGTGATGAGTAGAATTCTCGGCCCATTTATATTTAAATAGGCCTGGCCAGTCCATGGCCCAGTGGCGAGCTCCGTCCGACTCGCACCAGGCTGCTCGGCTGCCACTGTCAGTAGCACAGCACAGTGGGAGCGGAGCATTTTAGTCCCACATCGGCGGAGCACAGCGGGGAGCGCACAAGCGGCTGCATTAAAGAGGACCAGGGTGCGGCCTTTCCAAAACATGATCCTTCAGGCAGTTAAAGGGAGATGAGGAGTGGTATAAGCTCGCAATTACTATGCGAGAGGGGTGCCCGCCCCAACTAAGCCTGTTACGACAACATGGGCACCCCAATGACTTACCATCTGATCCCGACTTTAAAACAAAAACAAAAACATTTTTCTTTAGCTTAGCCCCTACAAGTACCAGGAATTCTCGTTGCTTTCGTTTTTCAATTTTTTGTTGATTTAAACTTTCTTTCGGAGTTTTTTCTTGCCAAGTTCTTTGTGACTTTTTGATATAAACGAAAACGCAAACTATTTTTAGTTTAGGTCCTATTATGTACAAGGACCATTTTAGTTTTTGTATTTTGATTTTTTATTAATCGTCCAAACTATTTTCTTTTATAAAATAAAATAGGTATTTGTATATCTGGAAAATATCAAATGAGCGAGTTGAGTAACTCGAACTCTCACATGCGCCACCAACTTGATTTTTTTTATGCCACCAACTTCTGGGTGCAGTTTCATTCATTCTCTCTACGAGACTCGCGCCGCCTACTGCTCAAAACTCGATTCCTCATAGTCCACATAGACCATTTTCTAGTGGTTAAATGAAAGTATGAAACCACACCCCTTCTCGGTAGTTTACATGGACTCAGGTAAGGCCACCTCAAGTAACTTTTTGAAATGGAACCAACTTTCTAATTGGATTTTCATGAATAATGGTCACACATGTTATGAAGCACCAATTGCAATAGTCGAGTGAGATAGAAGGATCCGACTCCCTTGTCGAGTAGATTTATGGAGAATGAAAATTATTGAACTGGCGCGATTACATTGTTTGGTGAAAAATGATAGACTTGTTGGGTAGCGGGCAACAACTGCGGCTAACAAGGGGATGTTGTAGACCTAGCGGCAGCAAAACAGACCGAACAAGAGAGAACGCAGTGGATAGCGTCACAATATAGAGTCGAACTAAACGAAATTGCACATCTTATATCTAGGTTGGTATACTAAGAATGCCAGCGTTTGTCACAATTTCTTGCCAAATTTAACTAAAGGTTAGTTCATCAAATTGGTCTTCACACCTTAGCTAGCCTAGGAGAATTTTGCCATTTTTTTTTGTAATAACTGACACGTAGGAATGAGCCGATGGAAAAAAAAAGCAAAAATAATCTTATCAGAGTCTGTGGTGACAACCAAACAATAGGTAGCTTGATCAAATTCAACTAAATTTAGGTGTGACAAAGTGAAGTGCGCGCCGTTGCTGGCCTCGCTTGCCAGCTCGGGCGGCTCCGTGTTCATGTCCTGCAGAGTGCAGGCTGCAGTCTGCCTGCTGCTCGTCCGGGGGCCCTCCTTTCGTTCGCTGTGCATGACCCGCATCAGCAGCGATGACCGATGAGGCCACCGCCCGCCGCCCGGTGAGATGCGGCGCGATCTCGTTGCCCTGTCCGCGCCAGCTCCATCTCCGTCTCCGGCGGCGCCAGCCGCCACCCGCCCGCCTGCGCAGCGCGGACGCTGCGCCCTCTGGCCCTCAAGTCCGGGCGCGCCTCGGAGACACGCGTGGCGACCGCGCTCGCCGTGGCGTACGCGCGGTCGGGCCTGGTCGCGCACGCGCGCCGTGTGTTCGATGAAGCGCCGCGCAGGGACCTGGTCCTCTGCAACGCCATGGTCTCCTGCTACGCCTCCCACGGCCTCGCGCGCCAGGCCTGGGCGCTCTTCGCCGCCTTGCGCCGCTCCGGGGCGCTCGCCCCCGACGGGTTCACCTTCAGCGCCCTGCTCCGTCCGCCGCCGCGCCGTCGCCGTCACCGCCACCCCGCCGCCGATGCCGTCGTCGACGCCGGGATGCTGCTCGCGATGGGAGCCCTGGCGCACGGCCTCGTGCTCAGGCTGGGTCTCCTCGCCGACGTGGTGGTCACCACCGCTCTGCTCGACATGTACGCCATGTGCGGCGGCCGGGTCGACGAGGCGCGCTGGGTGTTCGACGCTATGGCGGCCAGGAACGTCGTCTCCTGGAACGCGATGGTTGTCTGCTACGGTCGGGTTTGTGGAGGCAAGGACGCTGTTGACCACTTCCGGCGGATGCTCAGAGACGGGAGCTGCTCCCCCGATGAGCTCACGCTTGCCAGCGTGCTAAGTTCCTGCGCCAGCATGGCGGCAGCAAACGAGGCTACTCAGGTTCATGCTCATGCCGTAAAGAGGGGGTTTCACGAGTTTCTGCAGGTGGCCAATGCTGTTATCACGGCGTATGGCAAGACCGGTTTTGTTCGAGAGGCGACACAAACGTTTGCTATGATCTGCGACCCAGATGTAGTTTCATGGTCCTCTATGGTTTCGCTTACGCGTACCTTGGACTATCGAAGGGTGCAGTTCATGTGTTTGAGAGAATGATCCAACAAGGCATACTGCCTGACGGCGCGCTGCCTTCCTCGGAGTTCTTTCTGCCTGTAGCCATGCTGGTCTTATTGAAGAAGGCTTACACTATTTCCTTATGATGACGAGGGCTACAGAACCGATCCAAATCCACAGCATCTTGCTTGCCTGGTTGATCTCTTAGGGAGAGCTGGCAGGATTGAAGATGCTTACAACATTGTTATCAAGCTTTCTTGCGAGAGCAAGGCTGATATTGTTGGAGCTTTCCTTGGTGCTTGTAAGATGCGGGGCAAAATTGAGTTGGCAAAGTGGGCTGCAGATAGGCTTTTATGCTTGGAACCAAGTGAGGCAGTAAATTATCTGCTTATGTCCAATGCATTTGCTGCTGCAGGAGCTTGGAACGAGCTTGCAAAAGTAAGAAGTGTGATGAGACACAGGTGTGGCAGCAAGGTTCCTGGCTGTAGCTGGATAGAGATAGGTGGAACGGTTCAGACATTTGTCTCCAACGATGTGGTGCTCCATCAGTCGACTGAAATGCAACAAATGATGCAGCTTACTATTTCAGAAGCACGAAAAGAGTGGAACGAAGACACAACTTGTGATGATCCAATTTTAGTTCGAGAATGGCAGTGATACAGATGTTTGATATATTATTCTGGGTTAGTTTGGCATCTGCGATAGTCCCAGAGCTTATCAATGTGATCTTTCTCATGTAAGTGGTATGTATTAATTTTAGTGTATTTTTGCCAACTGATCATCACACTAACTAAATTGCCAAAACTGACTTGATTTGGTTGCATAAAGATAGGATCTATGTAACCTTAGGAAAGCAGAAAATAGCATTATGTTTTATTCTGTGTTATATTTGTTTAGTATTAGAATGAACAGTATAGAATGATTATTTTTACGATGGTGCAAATCAATATTTTACATGTTCTACAATATGAAGTTATGAGCCTTAATGATTTCAAATTCTGTAAACTTATTAATAATTTACCAAATATGTGATATTTACTGCACTTTCTTGGGAAATGATATACAAACTACTTCATTTTCCTTGAAAACAGCAATGGCTCCTTGCATATATATATTTCATTTTCTTTTTGCCATAAGGGCGTACCCAGTGCAGAGAGCTCCCGCTCTGTGCGGGGTCTGGGGAAGGGTGTCAGTGGCAAGCCTTACCCTCGCCTGTGCAATGCGAGGAGACCGCGACTTGAACCCGGGACCTTCCAGTCACAGGCGGTAAGACTCTACCGCTTGCACCAGGCCCGCCCTTCTTCTTTTTGCCATAGTGCAGTTAATTTAATATTTGTTGATTGTGTTCGATTTTACATGTTTATATTGCTGTACAATCTATTTCCAGTTCATAAGTTGGTAAGATGTTTATGCCAGGTAGTTGAGTGCTGTTTTAGATAAATAGATATCTAGCCTGATATTTCTCTTGGATATCCATTTTATTCATATTTTCGTGTTTAAGATTAGCTAATTCTTGCTCAAATATTTTGCCACTATACATCCTGTTTGTGATTCCCATTTGGCCCCTAGTGTAGTAATGTTTGCTGCTTCTCTGGAAGTTGATGATAATGTTTGTACCGCATATTGTTATTTTTCCTGAACAAGCTTCTTACATAAGGGCCAGTTACATTTTTGGATAATAGTTTTTAATACCGCAGTTCTTTGATCCTGAGTAGTTGGTTAAAAATTTGCAGTCCTGCTGTTGTTGCATGAGTAACTGTGCCACATGATCTCAATTTGAGTTAGCAGATTATATATGATACTAGTTAAGTTTTGCACCTGTCATGTATTAAGGATACTGGTGTTGACTTGGAAGAGGGTCCAGGTCCCATCTTGTTTACCAAAACCAACACCCTTTAGGATTGCATTCAATTTGATCATTTTGCACTGAACTTGTGAATCCAAAGGATTAACAAGTTAGTGCAGCAGGTCTATTTCTTGTCCCTGCACGGTAAAAATGTTTCTTTCCTTAGTTCGTACCTTTCTAGATTCCAGTATTCAGTGTTGTCTTCTGTGCTTCAGGTAGGTACTCACAGAGATGACTGATGTTAGAGTTAACTGCAGTGTTGAGTGGACATGCCACATTAACGCAATGGGTTCTGTAGTTGAGTGTGTTCATAGTGTAAGTTCTTAAGATACCCATGAACCAGCACTGCCAGTTGTGTATGATTTCCTTTGCTGATAAAAGTCCTTAGTGCTGCTGAACTTTAAATTCAGGGATGGGGGTGTTGCTGTGCTGGTCAAGAGTCAAGACTGACCCAATGAACTTACAGAACAAAGGACCCTGAAAGGTACTTCACCCTCAATTATGGAACTCTATGTCTCTACGTGAAAACTTGAATATTACCAACAATCAAACCAAAATTTGATCTATGAGCTACATCCAGATGGAAACAATGTCAGTAAATGAACTTGGTTGATACACTGTCATTAAAAAAAAAGTTGAAAGCCTAGGAGTTGCCCTCACCACAATGTGCCATCATGGATCTTAATAAGGCATTCGACCTCATGCTGAAATGTGTGCCCAATGCAACATTTGGCATGCATCAGTCCAGTAGTTGTTTCCATCTCAAAGAACCAACTGTCCATGTTGAGTGTTGTTTCTCAAGAATCATCCAAGTGAACCATGCGCCAGGTTTCTATCCCTTTTTTTTCCTTGACAAATCAGGGTTCTATCTTCTGTACACGACATATACACCTTTTTGCTGGCACGCATCATGCAAGTTTGACTCATTTCTCCAGAAGACCTGGCTGCTGGCTGGTCTCGTCTCTGTCCCAACTAGGGCAGGTTGTTACAGCGCAAAAAAGTCCTTACCTGGAGAAAGACACATTTGTTTTATACTACAGTTTTCCTCTTTGGCTCTGTAGTCCAATTTATTTGTTTTGGATTTGACATTAAAACTACCATGGGATACAAGAATAGGAAAAAAGTGACTTTTGAAAGGTCGGGCAGGAGGGTCGTGAGACTCAACCGTAGGTTAAAGATTTGCCTTTTAAACTATAAAGGGCTGTTTAGAAGAGGGTATTGCTCTGGTAATGTTTCAGATACCTTTGAAAAAAAGTCTATTTATTAGTATAAATTTCAACAAGTCTGATGTACTTGTAATAAAATCCCTGCTATATAAATATGGCCCAATAATAGTATAGGATAGGTCTCATTTCAATGGATTCATACAAAATAAAATGAAAAGCATTCTTATGCGAAAAAAATCCAAAGAGGTGAATTCTTGAAGATCCTTGCCCACCAAGGTAACAACTCCCACTAGGCCACTACACTACAGCTAGTCTTTGTTGTTAGCATCATTTGTCAATGTGTTGCACTTATCCTCGAAATTTCCACAAAGCTTGCATGACAAGGACTCTGCCCCTTCCCCATATATATAAACAATTCGCAGCCAGCAACCCAGCACTGACAAAAGTTCACCACAGCTCAAGAACAACCACAACTAGGAGATACAAAACAGAAAATAAAACAAGTGCACTCAAGAAGTGAAAGGAGGGATCCATAATCGAAATCCAAGTATCAAGATGGTCCTGGGCTTGGATTGCTTTGGTTTTATGGCGAGGAAGGCGCCAGAGTCATCTAAGCAGCAAGAAGCTGGAGATGCGAAGAAAAAGAAGGACGCGGCAGAAGAAGCATCCCGGGAGGCCAGTGAGAATAAGGGTGAGAAGGCTGTAGAGAAGAACAAGAAGGGGAGAGGAACAGGGTCCCCCGTCGTGGTGCCTCACTTCCCTAGCCGTTCTACCCCTGCCTTGATCTAGCTAATCTGAATTCAGTTTCCTTCTTTCTGGTGTTCTTGCTGAAGGCAAGTAGGCAATTAGCGAGAAAATACCGCGTGAATGGATTCAGAGGACTTGATATCTAAAATTACAAAATTAGTAGTATGTAGAGTAAGGATAATAATAGAAGTAGCATACTGAATTAACAGAATGTTTGTGACTTGTGAGACCATCTTGTGCCTGAACATAACTTGCTTATGTGGGCTGCTGATAGGCTTTTATGCCTGGAACCAAGTGAGGCAGTAAATTATCTGGTTATGTCCAATGCATTTGCTGCCGCAGGAGCTTGGTACGAGCTTGCAAAAGTAAGAAGTGTGATGAGATACAGGTGTGGCAGCAAGGTTCCTGGCTGTGGATAGAGGTAGGTGGAACGGTTTGGACATTTGTCTCCAATGATGTGGTACTCCATGAACCGATTGAAATGCAACAAATGATGCAACTTACTATTTCAGAAGCACAAAAGGAGGGCAACGAAGACACAACTTGTGGTGATCCAATATTAGTTCAAGAATGGCAGTGATACAGATGTTTGATTTATTATTCTGGGTTAGTTTGGCATCTGCAATAGTCCCAGATCTTATCAATGTGATCTTTCTTATGTAAGTGATATGTATTTATTTTAGTGTATTTATGCCAACTGACCACAGTTGTCACCTAGGAGTTGCCCTCACCACAGTGTGCCATCATGGATCTTAACAAGGCATTCAACCTCATGCTTAAATGTGTGCCCAATGCAACATTTGGCATGCATATCAATCCAGTAGTTATTTCCATCCCAAAGAATCAACTGTCCATATTGAGTCTGTTGTTTCTCAAGAATCATCCAAGTGAACCATGCACCAGGTTTCTATCCCTTTTTTTCCTTGACTAATCAGGGTTCTATCTTCTATACACAATGTATACACTTTTTTGTTTGCACGCATCAGTCAAGTTTGACTCATTTCTCCAGAAGACCTGGCTTGTCTCTGTCCCAACCAGGGCAGGTTGTTACAGTGCAAAAAAGTCCTTACCTGGAGAAAGACACATTTGTTTTATACCCTGATTTTCCTCTTTGCTTTGTAGTCCAATTTATTCGTTTTGGATTTGACATGAAAACTACCATCAGATACAATATAGCAGGAAAAAAAAAGTGAACTTTGAAAGGTCTGGCAGGAGGTCACAGTGAGACTCATCGATAGGTAAAGATTTTCCTTATAAATAAATTACAAAAAGGGCTGTTTGAAAGAGGGTGTTGCTCTAGTAATGTTTCAGATACCTTTGAAAAAAAGCCTATTTATATTAGTATAAATTTCAACAAGTTCTATGTAAATATGGCCCAATAATAGTATAGGATAGGTCTCATTTCAACGGATTCATACAAAATAAAATGAAAAACATTCATATGATAAAAAACAAAAACAAAGTGGAAAGACTGCAGTGACCTATTGAGAACCTTGCCGAATTCTTGAAGATCCTTGCCCACCAAGGTAACAACTCCCACTAGGCCACTTCTAGCTAGTCTTTGTTGTTAGCATCATTTGTCAATATGTTGGGTTTTTTTTTTTTTTTAAGAAAGACAGCAAAAGCTTTGCCGGATTTTTATTAGATGAGGAAAAAGACAAAAGAATTACAACTGAATAGGAGAGCTTGGGAAAACCACTAACACGGCACGCAGACCGTCAATATGTTGGACTTATCCTCGAAATTCCCAACACACACAAAAAAAAGTTCGTTCAGTAGAAATACGTAGTAGTATTGGAGTCTAGCACTGTGTTGCATCGGAATAGGACATATGTCCTAGCCTGGTTCGGCCATGTATATATATATGAGACGTACGGCAGCCTAGAGGGCTTAAGCCGATAAAATTATATTTTACACGCTCAAGATTCAAGAAGTGAAAGGGGGAATCCATAATCAAAATCCAAATATCAAGATGGTCTTGGGCTTGGATTGCTTTGGTTTTATGGCGAGGAAGGCGCCGGAGTCGTCTAAGCAGCAAGAAGCTGGAGATGGGAGGAAAAAGGACGCCACTGAAGAAGAAGCATCCCGGGAGGCCAGTGAGAAAAGGGCGAGAAGGCCGTAGAGAAGCACCAATGAACTTAGCCTTCACATCATTTATATCTTTAGTAAGCACGTAGAAAGAATAAGTTTAATTAAGGATACATTAGCATTCTTGTTCTTGGTCGTGCATTCATATTCTTTATGATCAACTTGCTTAAGGGCCTTGGCTTTCTTGGAGGTATAGTCAAATCCCTCTTTGTAGAGATATGTTCTTTGGCTACCCAAGCACATAAGCAAACGGTTCTCATCACCATAGGCTTTGCCTAAGGTGTAAGTGATCTCATTGACCTCCTTCTTGATGGTCTTATTTTCAACCATTAGTGAGGCATCATAAGTGAAACCATCACTACTAGATGAGGTAGAAGTGGAAGTGCTACAGGAAGGGTTAGTGAGAGCAACAATGATAGACTTATAGAATAATTCATCAATTATATCACAAGTTAAGCCTTTATCACATGTTACAACATGCTTCTTCTCATTTTGCTCATTAAGTAGAGAGGAATGAGCTTTTTTAAGCTTCTTGTGAGTCTTGCCAAGCTTCTCATGGGCTTTCTTTAGCTTCTCATGAGATGCATTGAGCTCATCAAAGGCTTGCTTAAGGGCTTTTAGTTCCTTTCGCAAGTCTTTGCATTCCCTTCTCTTAATGTCAAAATATTCTTTAGCATCTTCTAACATGTCAATTAGTTCATCTTTAGTGGGTTCATCATCATTGTCACTTTCACTTTCACTTTTATTATTATGTTCCTCATCACATCCATCATCACAAGTTTGTACCTTAGTGGCCTTAGCCATGAAGCATGATGGAGTGTCGAAGAGAGAAGGCTTATCATTGATAGCAATGCTTGCAAAAGCCTTCTTCTTGGTGGTCTTGTCATCATCACTATCATCATCATCACTTGAGGAAGCATCACTATCCCAAGTGACCACATATGAACCACCCTTCTTCTTCTTCTTGAAGGTCATCTTGTTCTTCTTCTCTTTCTTTTCCTTCTTGTCCTTCTTCTTGCTCTTCTTGTCGTCATCATCATTGTCGCTATTATATGGGCATTGAGCAACAAGATGATCCTTGCTTCCACACTTGAAGCACCTTCTTGACTCTTCCTTGTTCTTGGATGAAGATTTCTTCCTTCTAGCACGGTAGCCCTTCTTCACCATGAACTTGCCAAATCTCTTCACAAAGAGAGCCATCTTCTCATCATCCATCTCATCAAAGCTCAAGTCTTCATCTTCGCTTGATGATTCTTGCTTTGCCTTGCCCTTGGATGATGTGGCTTTGAATGCCACACTCTTCTTCTTGTCATCCTTCTTCTTATCTTTCTTCTCCTTCTTTTCTTCCTTCTCATCATCATCCCTATATGTGTCATCGATCATCACATCTTCCAACACTTGGTTATGTGTCATGGTGTCCAAACCACTCCTCACTAGAATAGTGACCAATGTGCCAAATCTTGATGGTAAGCATCTTAGGAATTTATGGGAGAAGTCCTTGTCCTTCACCTCTTCTCCAAGTGCTTTGAGATCATTGACAAGCACTTGAAGCCTATGGAACATCTCCGGCACACTCTCATCTTCTTTCATCTTGAAGCTTACAAACTTCTCCTTAAGAATGTATGCCTTTACACGCTTCACGGCTTGAGTGCCCTCAAAGGATTCCTCCAACTTCTTCCATACATGCCTCATGAGCCATCTTAATGTTTTTGATTTGCTCAAATGTTCTCTCATCCAATACATCATGAATAACACTAAGAGCAATGTCATTATTTTGGAGCAATACTTCTTCGGCGGCGGTGGGAGCCTCCTCATTGGCAATCTCAATCTTGGTCTCCACCACCTTCTAAATCTTTCTTTTGATTGACTTGATATATGTTGTCATCTTAGCCTTCCAATATGGATAGTTGGAGCCATCAAATTGGGGTGGCTTCTTCGTGTTGTTGATTTGAGGCATTTTGACACCGAAGGTTGTTAAGCTTCAAATCAAGGTGACCATGGCTCTGATACCACTTGAAAGGTCCTAATGGCTAGAGGGGGGGTGGATAGTCTATTGAAAATTTCTACAACAACACTTAGCAAATATGTTAGGCAATTAAACAACGAAGCGAGTGTTGCGCTAGCCTACTAAAAATGCAAGCTACCTACCACAATTCTAATGATTATGATCTCTAAGCACACAATTGACTAAGTCACTATACTAAGTTAGTGAAATCTCAAAGGCTAACTAAAGAGCCTCACTAACTACTAAACCCGACACAAGCTAGCTCTCAAAACTAATTACCCTAAAGAGCATAGCAACACTAAGAATGTAATACAAGAGATGGCGGTGATGATTATACCGACGTGTCAAGTAGTGAGCCAATCACAAGATGATCGCAATCAATCACAAGATAATCAATGAAATCCTCGGACAATGATGACACATGATTTTTTACCGAGGTTCACTTGCTTGCCGGTAAGCTAGTCCTCGTTGTGGCGATTCACTCACTTGTAGGTTCACACGCGAATTGGCATCACACGCCAAACCTGCAACCGGATGCCACACAACCAACACAAGATGAGGATCACACAAGCCACAAGCAATCCACTAGAATACCTTTTGGCTCTCCGCCGGGGAAAGGTCAAGAACCCCTCACAATCACCACGATCGGAGCCGGAGACAAGCACCTTCCTCCGCTCGACGATCCTCGCTGCACCAAGCCGTCTAGGTGGCGGCAACCACCAAGAGTAACAAGCAAATCCCGCAGTGAAACACGAACACCAAGTGCCTCTAGATGCAATCACTAAAGCAATGTACTTGGATTCTCTTCCAATCTCACAAACATGATGAATCAATGATGGGGATGAGTGGGAGGGTTGTGGCTAAGCTCGCAAGGTTGCTATGTCAATACAAATGGCCAAGAGAGTGAGCTTGAGCCGGCCAAACACCTTTTATAGAGGCTCCATCGAAA